TCGAGGCGGTGCATTTCATAACTGTAATAGCAGCAATATCATTAACTCATTAACTCATTAACAACAACAACAACAACAGCAACAACAACAACAACAACGACAACAACAACAACAACAACAACAACAGCAGCAACATCAACAGCAACAGCAACAACAACAACAACAACAACAACAACAACAAAACTGTGTATGTACGCATACATCCATGTTTGAACGAATGCATGGATGAGATAATGACTGAATGAACGGTTGAATGGATGGATGGATGGATGGATGGATGGATGGATGGATGGATGGATTGATGGATGTGAATAGGAACAGAGGGGGCCTGTAAACGCCTTTACTATTTCCGATTGTCTTTCGGACCCATGTTCCAAAACTTTCTCCTTCGGAAATACAGGAGAACCATCCCAAAACACTGCATATATAATCCAGCGCTTGTATTGACCTAAAATTTATACGCAACGCCCGTATAGTTGCCGGCAAAGGCTCTTGCTCAAGAAACTCTGCATGATGCCAGTGTTTGTTGTTGCCAGTCTTGTCAGAAGAGAACCCCATCGACGAAATTTACAAAGCGTCCTACGAACACTCGCCAACACGGTAATGGAAGCTCATGTCGGACGAGGTGCCTGGCTTGTTGTCGGACGGGGTGCTGCCGCGGCAGACCCTGTCGCCAGCGTAAAAGCATAACCACTGAATTTAGAGGTTAGTTTAACGGTCCTACAGAGGTTCTAGAAAAGTATAAGGCAAAAGAGGCATGACGAATTAGTAAGAGTATCCTGCTTCGGGCCCCTGTCCACGTCTCTTTGATACGAAAACACATTTCTAACTATTCATGCCACAACATTCGGTTTTAGGCTTTTCTGTGTTCAAAGGGCTGAGGGCTTGCAGGGTTAAGGGATGTTAAGGGTGTTGGGTTAAAAGAACAAGGGTTCAGGGTTGAAGCTTGCGTAGGACAGCTTCAGAAATCAGGACAGCCCAGTCACTATTACTATAGTATAACGACTATAGAACCTGCGGTTTAGTAGGATCCTTCTCCGAAGGAAGGCTGGTTTCAGGCTTGGCCACAAGCCACCCCATGACCAAAACAAAAAATATTGCGATTCATGCTGTACAAGCTGAACTGTATAATCACTAAACGATCGAAGTGTCGGGTTGAAAACTGGGAGTCGATCACCCAACACGGGCCTAATTCAGCCTTTTCTTCGTTTGGGTGGGTTCAACATCCTGGGGGGGGTGGGGGGGTCCTCGTGGGATAACCACTACAGTAATGTACGCACATGGTCCCCTGAAGAGTACGTTACTCTAGGGTTCTGGAAAGGACACCAGCAAGGACCTATGTTGGACAACCACCCAGATTTCCCTATGAGCCCCCCAATAAAACCCCGATCCTCCCCTTTTCCTATGACCCCTCGTTCCGCAGGTTGAGAAGTCTCCCTGCTAATGAGTTTAGGACTGGGGCTCTCCATGACAGGGGCCCTATAGCGAACAACGACTGCATACCTGCCCAGAGAACCCGATGCCCCTTAATTACGGAATAGACCTCAAATCATAATATTAAGGCCCCTATTATTTTAAGGTTTATTCCTTAATTAAGGTGTATTGGGTTCTCTGGGTGGCTGACTTCAAGGCGAATGGGAACTCAGAAGCCCTAACCCGCAACCCTAAGCCTGGCCTCACAAGGTAGTTATGTAGGAATGTCTAAGAACGACCGACCTTGCCTAGCAATCCAGCTAGGAGTCCTTATGATATGGAATGGGGTTTAAGGTGGTTTTGGGTTGAGGGGCTTGAAATATTTGGCTTAGGGTTTATGTAGGACTTGGGGGCTCATTGCTTAGGATCTCTACTAAGTAGGGTCTCTGCTAGGATCCCGCCTTTCTTGAAAAATATGAAATGGGCCATCAGTCATATGTATGTATGACCCCAGCTCCTTTGCCTATCAGAACCTCCATCCACAGGCTGAAAGACTTTCCTTAGCATGTCCAGGATGCTGAGTTTTGGAGCTCTTGGACAAGGGAGCTAGCTTGTCAAAGCTTCGTTCTACTGGGATTTCGAACCCAGCTTTCTGGGTTGAGGGCGTAGCGCCATAAGGTCTTCCGTCCGGGGCCGCGGGTGATCTCCTCTCAATGAGGCACAACACGCAAGATTAGCAAACTTCCATCTGCTTCATGCATCACAAGCCCTGATGAACCCTAAACCTAAAGCCGCCAATGGCAGCGACTGGTGAGCTCTAGTTCCGGTCTAGAGTTAAGGGTTTAGGTTAGTTTTTCGCGTTGCGGAAAATGGGCGAGTGGGTTCCTGAATAGAAGGACCCCCGAACTGCCGGATCGCTATTGATTGAACAAAACCCAGTACCGTTGCAGTTCCCGCGGGTTGAACATGGTTTAACACCTATAGTTAATAGTTTGTACAAGCCCTGAACACAAAATACCTAAACCGCAAACCCTGAAACCAGCAACCTGAAACTCAAAAATTCAAAACCCTGAAGAAGGTTTCTATACTGCGATGAAACAAACGAATAACCACAGCATCACATAAAGTAGGCATCAGCAAGTCAACAAACGATTATGTGTATGTATGTATGCATGCATGGATGCATGCATGTATGTGAATGCAATTTTACATTCATGTATGTATGCATGTATGTATGTATGCATGTCTGTAAGTATCCTATCATGGAACTTAGGGAAGTTGGGAGATGCGTCACAAAGCTCCACAACTCGGCCTTAAGAGCTAAGCCAGGGCGCTCAGATCCACTGGAAGACGACGTCGTCGTGGGCACCGCCGTGGTGACTTGTGTCGTCGGTGCCGCTGTTGTCGTGGACGTCGTGGACCTGATAAATAGTAGTTAGGATTAGGGGGACCCATGGGGATATAGGCCCTCTCAATGAAGTCCCTTTAAGAGAGCCATAAGTAGGATTAAGACGGGTCCCCTTTAAGGGGTCTCCCTCATACTCCCTAGCAATATAGGAGGGTGCCAGGGTTTACGACTCTAGTTCCAGGGCCACCGCTCCCAAACCCTTCGACCCGAGAGGGCATCTAGGTGAAGCGGTGACTGAAGGATCTCATAACGGTTTGGGTCTGGCGTCTGGGTGGCTCCCGGACAGATCGTGACAAGTAGTGAAGCAATTCAAAACAGGGTTTAGGGTCTAGGGTACCTAAATTCGGGAGATCCGTTGGCTAAGCAGTGGCTGGCATTTCCCCTGAACCTAATCTACAGCAAACCCTGAACCCTTGGCCGAGTTAAGCAAGCTGGCAACGAAGATTCGTCCCCACGACCCCACTACACAAGCCAGTTGGAGCCTGAGGGCTATGCTACAGCACGCCAGCGGGGACCCCGTAATGGTACTGTAATGGTAAGATGATGGTAAGATGTCGCAGGGTCCAACGCTTTTGGATACCACTTCCTGATCCCTATCGATATCGCGAACTAGAAGACAGGCTTCCTTCCGAGACCTCCTGCTTGACGAGAAACTTAGACAAGCAAACATCAAGGAACAACGGTGATTCACAGTACGACCATTTGTAGGACAACCGAACTCGACACAATGCCTACAACTACCCAAGCCCGAAGCGGTACGCCCGAACTGCTTCGCACCTATCAATGCAGACTAACCTGGTGTGCCCTCAAGCCGGACAGCAGAAACGTGCGAGCCTAACATCAAAACCTAACAACCCACTAGAGCTGCAACTTCGTAATTGCAAGCACAGGAAACGCTAAAGCTTCAAAACCCTCCATCCGAAACCCTTGAAGCTCCACACCCGTATCTCAAGGCCTCCATAGGACCAAAGCCCTAACCTCAAAACCTAAACCCTGAACTAAGACAAAAGCCCTACTTTCGTTGAACCTAGATGTAATCCGAGCTGCGCTGATCCGAGCAAGCCAATCCGATCGGCTGCGCGCAGAAGGTCTCCGTTTAGGGTGATGGTGCTGATCCTTGGTTCTGAGACCCTGGTTCTACCCTCCATAAGACCTTAAAAAAACCTAAACCCTAAACCCCGAAGCCGTAAACCCTTAAATCCTAGCCCTCAAGACTTCTGCAGCCGAGAATCGCAATCCAGCTTCCAGAGTAGTAGTCTTCGATCGCCTGGCACTCAAATTCAACCTCGACTCCCTAGACCCTACCTGTACTCTCCATTGTAGCTCTTCTCGTAGTTTGACCGTTTACAAATGCAGCATCCCCACAATGCAGCCCCGCGAACGGAAGTACAAGGGAGACCATAGGCAAAGTCTTTTTCAATTTCATTCCGGCACCTGAAAGATCTGAACCCTAAAACCCTAAACCTCTGAAACCTGCAACCCGAATCCTAATTAAGCGCCTACACCCGATAGACAGGAAAATGAAGAACAACCCGGAAGTTGGGATAAACCTCATGCGCACCCTTGGGGTAAGATCTGGCGAATCAGCACTCACTGGCCATCTTTAACACGGGCGGGTTCGACTGAATTGTCTGGGATGGCACTGAAATTAGCTTGTCGTAATGGCAATCCCTCTTAGACCCATGGAAGGAGATGCAGAATGCCGTAATGGCCTCCCTCCTCAACCCTAGACCCTAAACCCTAAACCGAACCTAAACCGTTAACCCTAAACCCTAAACCCTAATCGCAGGTGGGGAACCTAGAACTCCTTGTTTTGACACCCACTGCCTTGGATGCCACCCTGTTGCCGGCAGCGTCAATGAGCTCCTGCTGCCGGTCCTCCCAACAGACAACTTAGGCTTTGGAGCACAAGTTTACGGCTCCGGATATGTGAGTTTCCGAACATAGGGGACCCTAATATAGTGCCCTAAATAGTAGGACCCTTATTCTCAGGACCCCAAGATAAGGTACCCTAATTTTTGGAAACTCCCAATATGTGATTTGAATATTCGGGGTTCAGTCTTCCGGTGGCTGCTCTTCAAAGGCCCTGGTAATCTTACTGAGGATTCTGCCACTGGGATGTGTTACGGACTGGCTGCAGCGCACAAGGCTTTACGAGCTCGCAGTTCGGGACTGCCGGCTGAGGGATTTCAGACTCAGGTGGATGAAGAAGAAGAAGAAGACGAAGAAGAAGAAGAAGAAGAAGAATAAAATGAAGATGATGATGATAGTGGTGCTGATGATCTTGATGCTGCAGTGGTGACATCGCATTCGGGCAGGAGCTATGAACTTCAGGTAAAATTGTGCCTCTGCCCAAACAAAGCTCTAGGTGTAAAGCCTCTGAACCATAGCTACACTCCCCACCTAGTGCCCTGTTTGGTCAACCAATTTGCAGGTGTCGGAACGCGTTCATGGGAAAACAAGGTAACCAAGATAAAGGAACTTCACCACAAAAGCCCAGCTACCGAAATAGAAGGCTACTGGGTTATGGGTACTCTACCCTTTTTGTTAGGACTCAAGGAGTTCTATATAATCCAAAATGCCTTGTCCTTTGTAACTTATAGACATAGCCTGCTCAGTATAGCACCCATGAAACCTTCAAGCGACCTGAAGCCGCTAGGGTCTACGCCTTAGGGTTGAGGCGTTTAGGGTTGCGGGGTTCAGGGTTCAGGGAACCTTAAACTCACAAAAAATTGTCCTGTCAGGACAACCAAACCCCTAGACCTGACACCTCAACTCTAACCGTCTCCAGCCACAGACGCTAGCGGCTACAAGCTAAGCCATACCATGCTGAACCTTAAGAGGCTCTACCCCAAACACGTCAGCCACTGAATATTTCTCGGCTTGAGGTGCCCACGTTCGAGAAAAGAGCCTTTTCAAACAGGCACCGGGAAACCCTAAACCCCAAACTCTAAACCCAAATAAAGTTCCTCAAAGCAAGGATCTTACGACTGAGGGCCTACACAGGACGGCTTTTTCTTGAAACCTCAACGCCCTCGGTTCTGCTTGCCGAGCGCCTTTTCATTCATCCCTCTAAGCCACTGGTCCGAAACTCTAAAGGGCTTGGGTACTGAAAACCCCGCAACCCTATCCCCAAAAGAATCCCTGAAGCACTGAACGTCAAAAGCCCTAGACCCTAAACACCCAAACCGCAAGCACTTTATGGGTAGTTCTCTAAATTAGGGTCCCTTTTTGGGTCCTTATTATAATACGGCACCTATTATTTAGGGTACCCCAAAAGGGACCATAATTTTGACAACTGCCCTTATAGAAAAATCAATAGGCTCCTCCTGGACAGAGTTGGCTGGACAAACGAGGCAGGAGAACGTTGGACCGGCCATGAACCTTGCAGTATGGAGTTTAAAATCTTAAGGGCTTAGGGTTTAGGGTTTAGGGTTTATAGGGTTTAGGGTTTAGGAATGTTAACCCTAACCCTCCAGGTACCTACTATATAGAGCCCGAGGAGCTCTAGTACCCTATATAGTAGGTACCTGGAGGGTTAGAGTAGGGTTGGGGTTTAGGGTATACAGCTCAGGGTCGGTTGGGGCTTAGGGTTTGGGGCTTCTATAATAAGGCTTAGGATCTGCGGGCCTTGGGGTTTAGCCTAAGTTTAAGACGTCCAAAGCAACGCACAAGAAGACTTGGGTTTTGGAGAATTGTGAGCGCAGGTTAGTAGGGGTTTAGGGGTTTAGGGGTTTAGGGTTTAGGAGTATATTGGGTAGTTCTCTAAGTTCTAGGGTCCCTTTTATGGCCCTATTCGCAAGGGTGCCGTGCTATGTTAGGGACCTAAATGGGGACCCTAAGTTAGAGATCTACCCATATTGGGGAGTATATAGGGGTTCTTAGCGGTCCCCCGGGGTTAGGAGCTTAAGGTTTAGAGCTTAAGTTTCAAGTCCCTAAACCCTAAACCCTAAACCCTAAACCCTATAAACCCCATCTCTTCAAACAGGGACGTCCCTCGGTGGATGTGGAGCTGCACGGTTTCGGGTTTAGGGACTCAGGATTTAGGGTTCCGGATGTAAGAGCTTCGGGGTGTATGGGCTAGGGTTTAGGGAACCGGGGTTGCTTAGTGCTTAGGGTGGCGGTGCTCGCAAGTATCTTGGTAGCTGTGCAAAACCTTTCTGGTGCTGCCGCGGGGCATGTTCCAGGACCAGCTGCTGTGCACGCTGTCGACCAAGCAGCTGCCATCCACATCCAAAGCCGTAGCCCAGTTGCCGTTCGTCTCCTTGCCTTCCAGGTGGGTGGCCAGAGGATCCAGGAAGGCCGCGGCATCACCGGCTTCGCTGGGGAAGAGGAGGTAGTCTAGTGCCACGCGCCACACCGTGCGGCTCGCTTCAGAACCATACTCGGCACCCGGCGTGCCACTGCCAGAGAAGCCCGTCTCAGCACGAAGGCTTTGACCTGCTTCATAGACCTTGGCCCAATTGGGCACGAGACCAGTGGAAGGACATTGTGTGGCCTCAAAAACTTTGTAGGTGGTGGCAATGACCTTGTTCCAGTCGGCTTCCCAATTCTCTCCTTCGTCGGCGGAGGTGCCATACTTGGTGTCGTGAGACTTCATGTAGTTGCGGCAGAGCCTGTAGACGCCGGGAGCATGGTAGCTGGGGTTCTGGCCGTCTCCGTCCCAGCCGCCCCAACAGGCACCCAGCTTGACGATGCGGTGACTTCCCGAGCTGGAGGCCACGGTGGAGCTCATGTAGAACTGCTTACATGTGTCGTAAGCCCATTGGCCAACCTTTGATGCTCAACGGGTCATTTCGCAGCTGCCACAGTGCCATGAGTCACTCTCTGCCTCTTAGTCTTCCTCCTCCTCCTC